TCCAATTCTCCTACTGGCTTTTGTATGTTACCATTCCTGATGTCTGATTTGTGTCCATAGAGACTGTCTGGTTTGGCCAATGTAAATGGCAGAGCGTCATTGCTGGCACATGATGCCATATATCACATTAGTAGATGTGCAGGTGAATGAGTCCCTGATGGTGTGGCTGATGTGGTTGGGTTCTCTGATGGTGTCGCTAGAGTAGATATGGGGACAGAACCTCTCCAGCACATCATCAACGATCTACAACCTATCCTGGAAAACGATCCCTCACTCTCACAGATCTTAGGAGACAGGCCAGTCCTCGCTTGCAGACAATCCCCCAACCTGAAGCAAATACTCACCAGCAACTACACACCACACAACAGAAACACTAACCCAGGAACCAATCCCTGTAACAAACCTCGTTGCCTACTCTGTCCCCAGAGGGGCAATTAATTGGCCAGATAATTAATGACATCTTCCTCTAAGTCTTCTGTTTCACACTCTGTCAGACAGGACACTGCTGCAGCCTTTGGTAGTTATTTGTGTTATCAGTAGATTAGATTAAAAACACATTTAGGGCCAGAATCTTTGCTTGGAGCTTGGCCAAATGTGAATATAAAATCACCTACGGGGTGACCCAGGGACCTTGCGATGCCAATTGGCAGAGGGCATATGGGTTACAGGAATCCCTGGGTCTGAGATTTACATTCTAGTTCACCTGAAAATGTCATGTAGGGGTCTGTAATAACAGCCTGCATCAGACTGGCCCTGTGAATCATTGCAAGCTGTATGCCTGGGGGAGATTTAAGGAGTTATGTATCTCTGATAAAAATTACGTTCTCTAGGTCTGTGAGTTAATACAGGCTCCCAAAGAGCAATCCACATTCTCCTGACAGACAGTGAGGAAGAGATGCGTCCCTCTCTCTCTGGCGGGTCACATGAACCCTGAGTCCTATACGTTCCATGGTGGGGATCCACCCACATGCCCGAGCCAAATGCTCACAAAGGACTGTGAAATCTTCAAAGAGAGGAAATTACCAGGAAGTGTTTACAGCACTCCTCGTTAGGGGTAAGACAACGAACTTTTGGAACTATGCCTAGGAAGGGCAGCAGACCCCACAGTTATTCCTGCAGGACAGCTGCCGGAGGGCTTGATTTTCTGAGATGGAGTCATGACCACCCTGGTTGAAACTGCTGGGGAAAGAACTTGGGGATAAGAACTTGTAGGCGGCAGGGGAATGCTTTATTTGTTGGGTTTCGTCTCTAGAAAGCACCTTATGATGTTGCCTTATACGTCACCCTTTGTGTCCAATATTCTGGCTCTCGTCACTTGAACCTCTGTTCTGTGCTCATCCACTCATTCTTGTTTGCACTACGGATCTCAGTGATGATCCTTTGTGAACCGCAAACCCACACACTCCGCGAGCACCTGGTGGAACGGTGCTGGGCACTCCAGAGGGCTGGAGGCTGGACGAGTGCCTACAGCTCACATGTGCAGAGAACAAGGCCTGCAAGATACCGCATGTGTTCCCAGAGGCTGGTGCTGTCCTGACAAGCCGGCCTCATGTAAAGGGGGGAAGGCACCACACAACCCTAGGTACCCCGGAAAGTGTTCTAGGGTTAAAGGGATTTTTAGTTAACTTACTTAAAGACAAGTCCTGAGTGAAATCTGAACTCACAATGCTGGGTGGCTAAGGACTAGCTTCAAGAGCGAAGTCACAGAACCGCCGATTGGGCTAGTCACCTGTCCCGGCTCCCAGCACAGCGCTTGGCTGTTGTGCGATTCTTTCCTGGGAGCGTCATGTGAGGTCTCCTGATTCACGGGGCTCCCAGGAGAAGGGAGTAAACTTCCCTCATCAACCACCTCTCCCACTATTGCGAACCCTGCCTCTCCACCCCCAAGGATACCTGAAAGAAACTGGAACAAAAGACAGTAACTACTGGGGGTGTGAGTGATTGCTGGACCCAGACTAGAAGGAGACTAGTCTGTAAAAGGAAACTTAATGGGTGAGGATTTTATCTGTATTCAATTTTTATTACTGTACTAGACTTAAACTTGCGTGTTTTATTTTATTTTGCTTGGTAACTCACTTTGTTCTGTCTGTTACCTCTTGGAACCACTTGAATCCTACTTTCTGTATTTAATAAAATCACTTTTTACTTATTATTTAACCCAGAGTATGTATTAATACTTGGGGGGAGGAGGGGAAACAGCTGTGCATATCTCTATCAGTGTTATAGAGAGTGAACAATTTATGAGTTTACCCTGTATAAAGCTTTATACAGGGTAAAATTGATTTATTTAGGGTTTGAACCCCATTGGGAGTTGGGCATCTGAGTGTTAAAGACAGGAACACTTCTATGAGTTCCTTTCAGTTAAGTCTGCAGCTTGGGGGCAGGTGGTTCAGACCTGGGTCTGGGTTTGCAGCAGGCTAACGGGTCTGTCTCAAACCAGGCATGGCACTGAAGTCATAAGCTGCCAAGGCAGGAAAGCAGGAGCAGAAGTAGTTTTGGCACATCAGGTGGCAACTCTAGGGGGTTTCTGTAATCCAACCCGTCACACAAGGTATTCAGAGTGCGGGAGGGGGCTGTGGGTTAGGCAGGGGATTGGGGTGAAGGAGGGGGTTTGGACTCTGGGCTGCAGCTGTGGGTTCTGGGGTGGGGCCGGGTATAAGGGGATTAGGGTGTGGGATGGGCTCTGGGTTGGGGCAGGAGGTTGGGCTGCAGGAGGGTGTGAGGGCTCCAGCTGGGTGTATAGGCTCTGTGGTGGGCCCAGGGATGAGGGGTTTGGGGTGAAGGAGGGGGCTCTGGGTTTGATGGGGGCTCGGGGTTGGGGCACGGGCTTACCTCGGGCAGCTCCCAGTCAGCAGCATAGCAGGGCTAAGGTATGCTCCCTGCCTGTCCCGGCTCCACACTGCGCCCCGGAAACGGCCCGGGGGTCTGGCCCCTGGGGGGGGGGGGGGGGGGGGCAGGAAGCTCCATGCTTTGCTCTCACGTGCAGGCACCGCCCCCCCTCCCCAGCTCCCATAGGCTGTGGTTTACATCCAATGGGAGTGCAGAACTGGTGTTTGAGGTGGGGGTAGTGCGTGGATCCCCATAGCACACACTCCACCCCACCCCCGGCAGCGGCAGGCTGTTTGTGGAGTTTTAGCCTCCCCTGGCCTCTTATACCCGTCACCATGCTGCCAAGAGTAAGGCCAGGTTTACAATGCAGCAGGGGCTCGGACAAGGCAAGTCCTCCAGTCCGGGGTCACAACGCAGTGGGGCCGTATCCTGCGTGTCTCCCCTTCACTTTTCTGATTTTCCCCCCAGAACATTCCCCGAGTGGAACTGATCTCCAAGAGCTATCACCCGCGTGATGCCATCGAGGGGAGCGTAGGGCCTTCACAAACCGGCCTCAGTTTAGGACCGGGTCGTGCACGACAGCAGGGGACTAGGCTGCCCCAGGGAGATATGCACTAACAATGCCTGACTTATTCGATCACAGCACTGACTGCTGTGCTGGGGATCCTCCAGGTCCCAAACGCTTCCCCTACGAATATTCCCATCTCTCTGCACTGCCACTGACTTCTGTGTGAGCAAGACTGAGCCACATCCCTGTCCCTGCCTCGGTTTAACACACCAGTGGGATAGGGGAAGATCCTGGTCTGGTCTGTGTAAAGGGCTTGGAGGCCGAGTGCTGTATCACGGCAAAGGGGCACTGCGGTGGTGATGGCTGCTCTACGTGCCCTGCTGTTCCTGGGAGCTGCAGAGCAGTGGGTGAAGGGGCAGGGGCAGGAGAGGCCATCTCTATCTCCGTACTGCAAACCTCTCTGGGACAGAGCCCCATAGGTGGCCGTTGGGTCCAGGGACTCTTCCAGCCCCATGGAGACTTTGGCTGCAAGCGGATGAGCCATTCACTGGCGAACCTCAGAGGAAACAGATTTGTTCCCGGATTCCTCTCCCAGATAAGCACCCGGAGCCAGTCAGACCCTGCTGAGCTGGGTCAACATTGCAGCTGGCACCCTGCAAAAAAAGAGGTCCTATACCTCATTCCCCGACTGCCACCGAGCCACCAAGCCAGTGCCCACACAGGGACTAGGGGCAGGGCCTCTGAAAAGGAAAGGCTTCATATCCAATCTCCACCCCCTTGAGCCAGCCAGTTCTGGGGCCAGATCAGAGCCAGTGCCCCCTAAAGAGGAAAAGGATTGCTCTCCCCAGACCTCTCAGCCAGCTAGTCCCCTAAACCTAGGGCTGGATTGGAGCCTCTGCACCTTATCCTGTTCCCTGATTCCTCTGAGCAATCTAGCTGTATTTCTGACATGCTGCTAGGGTTAAATAACTCTGGATAACCAGTGACTCTGCACCCAGTCCCCGCAAAAACTCTCCCCCACCCCCGATTCTGCGTATGCAGGAAAGTATTTTATTGCAAGAAGCAGCGAGAAAATTGAACTCAGTGACAGCTTCCCCAGGGCTCAGCCTGAGACAACATCCACACAGCATCCAGTGGATCAGGGATGGGGAAGAGCTGTACAGTATAATGGGCACTAGGGCAGCAGGGAGTGGGGGATGGCGAAGGGGTGGTTATCAAGGGGTTCATGGGAATTTTGATCTATCCTGGGAGACTAAAATAGGGCACTCGAACCAGATCAGACTGGGGTTTCAGAGCCGCTTGGCCTCTTCCACTCCTGGTGGTCGGGGCAGCCCAGCCCAAGTCCAGGCCAGTTGTGTTTGGATCCTGCCCAGTGAGGCGGGTGCTGGGCTCAGGCTGAGGGTCTCAGTGCAAGCTGCGGGGGCTGGGTGCCCGGATTTTCACTTGTGTGGATGGGAACTGGGCACCCAGAATGGGAAATCACCCCGCAGGCCCCAAGCTGCTGGCCCATGGGATAGAGGGGAGAGGCTGAATTACCCGGTGGAGACTCATGGCTGGCACTGCCCAGGAGGGGCGGGGACAGGGTAGGAAAGCCCCCAACAAAAGAGGACTGCCTATGAGTGAAAGGGGGTGGCGGACAGCAGGGGAATCCCCTGCTCCCTGCTCATGGCAGATATGTTGGCTCTAAGTGCACGGGCAGCCGCTGGACACAGGCCACGCGGACCCTGGTGACTCCAGTTGCAGCTCTGTATCTACAACGCCCTGGTCGGGAGCCGGGCAGCACCCGGCACGTGGTGACGCTGAATGATCTGTTGCTGTCATAGAGGTTGCGACTAACGGGTCTTCCTCCGCTGCTGCATATGTCTCGGAGCTGGCCGGCAGGGGCGTGGATGAAGGTGTTGGTGGGTTTGCATCGGCGGCGGGTCAGGCCCCGGCGCTGCATCAGGAGGTTGCAGTAGAGCCTGTCATTGGGGGCGCTGGTCTTGGGGTGGTCAATGTGTTGTCTCACAAACTGCTGGTAGCTGGCGCCTTCACTGAGCTGGGCCAGGGTGGCAGCCAGGAGGATGAGGGGCAGCAGGAGCGAGGGGCGGGGTCCCCTTGGGGCCATGGCCATCTCTGTCACTAGATCGACCTGCAGTGGGAAGTGGGGGGAGATAGATGAAGACAGCGCTGGCTGGGGATCTGCCTCCTCCATGGAACCTCCAGGAACTGAACCCCAAGCCTGCCATTATACCTCCCACCCCACCCTGCCACCCAAAAACCACCACAACCCATGATCCCATCCCACTCTATCCCCAGGGCCCCTCATCTCCCACCCAACTCTTACCCAAATATAGGAGAGTTATTATTTTTATCACATGGCACCTAAATACCCTGCCAAAGACCTGGGCCCCCATTGTGCCATGTGCTGCACAGACTACAGTTGAAATCAGGGCCTTCTCCCTCTAACCCATTATTCCCCACTCCCCTCCCAAAGATGGAGATAGAACCCAGGAGTCCTGACTCCCAGTCCACCTGCTCTAACTACTAAATCATGCTGCATCCCAGAAACAAACCCTGCAGTTGCAGCCCCATGTGACACTGTTCTCTGCTCTCTCCAGGCTGGTGGAATCTCCTGCAACTTACCCAAGTCCTTGTTCCTTCGCTGTCATCGGAGCGACGGAGTCCAGTGACTGCTGAGCTGAACCTCACCCTGATTCCTCTGCCCGTCTTGGCATGAGTTATATAGCACCCAGCCGGGCATGGAGGGCGAGGTCAAATCCAGTAAACAATTGTGTCAGCAGGACTTCCTGATACCTGGCAATTAAAATCGGTGACATGGTAGGAAGGGCATGGGTGGGGAATAAATAGCACATGTCCTGCTAGACACCTGGGCTCCACAGAAACATCTCAGGGTGCGTCTTCCCAGCAAGCGAAGGTGTGATTGTAGCATGGGTGGGCAAAGCCGTGCCAGCTTTAATCTAGTGAGTGCCAGACTGCCAGGACATTGGGTACCAACTCTAGTTGGTAGCCCATGCTGAAGTCCATGCCACTATGTCTCCACTTCCTTTTAACCTGTGTTAGGTGGATTAAAGCTAGCGTAGCAATGCTGATGTGTGCTACAAATACTCTTCATTTACTGCAGACGGAGCCTGAGTCCTGACCCACTGGCACCTTCCGAATCCAGCCCTAGCCTAGAAACTTGCAGCCCTGCCAGTTCCCCTCACTCCTGACCTGCAGCCCCTGCTCTCCCAGCCCTGGCCTCTCCCCACCCACACAGAGCTCTGCTAATGCCCCTCAATCTCAACTTGCAGCTCCCTACTGTCTCTCTGCCCTTGGCTCCCCATGGATACATTCGTGTTGGTGCCTTTCAATTCTGACCAGCAGCTTCACCACCCTCCCCTCTGCAGGCAGCTTTGGACCTTAATGAGGAACTATAAAAATGGCTTCTTCTCATCTGATTAGCAGGCCATCATGTCTCCGAAAGCACATCAGAAAGAGAGCGGGAGGCAGAGCTCTGCACCTAAACGCCCAGAGGGCTGAGATTTTCTCAGGCACATAAGGAATTTGGAGGCCATGAGAACTAGTGGGAAACTGAGCATCTAAATCCCTTTGGCGATTTGAAGGTGGCGGTCACAGGACCCGTATCCCTGGGGATGTCGGGCTTTCAGAACATGAAGAGAGGAGATTAGTCGGCTCCCAGTAGATCAAACTCAGACTTAAGGGCCGGGTGTGATGATGCAACTCGCACATCCACGTACGGTGGCCACTCACGCATTCCCAGAATCCCAGAAACGGTGGTACTTCTGGGAACGGTGTGTGTGTCCCCACTCCCACCAGCGTGACCTAGCAGACATGGTGCACATGAGGTCACGCCATACGGAGGATGCAATTTCAAAGAGCGCATCACTCCACCCCCGTGAGTGCCAGGTCACACTGGCCGTGGCAGAATGGCGCATTCTTCAAAAAGGTGTCCCCTATCCAACACTAGACAAAAGCACATCCCATTGTGTCTGGGGACAAACCACCTAAAAAGAGGTGTGTCTGGTTCAAAACCAGATGTATGGCCAACCTGCAGCTAAGTGATTTTTTCCCTTCAGGATAAGAACAATTCTCTGAAGGAAGAAGAACCCCCTATTGGATGCCATTGGGTGTCTGCTAGGTTTACCATATTGCAGTCCTGGAAAAAGAGGACACTCCAAGGGGCCCCGGCCCCGCCCCAACTCCGCTCCTTCCCCACCCCTGGTTCTGCCCCAACTCCGCCCCGCCCCTGCCCCGCCCCCACCCCAACTCCGCCCCTTCTCCAAAGTCCCCGCCCCAACTCTGCCCCCTCCCCTGAACGCTCCGCCCCCCTGCTCCTCCCCCTCCCCTGCTTCCCGCGAATCAAATGTTCGGAGAATGGAGTGGTCTCTAGTAGTCAAAGACCCTTCTTCTCCATCCCCTCCAGTCTATGTCTATCCTATTGCTGTCTAACCCGCCCCAGCTCCTCATCTGATTTCAACTGCCCCCCACTACTGTTCTGGATTCCTTGTCCCAGTTTCCTGGTCCTGTCTCACTCTCCTCTCTCCCCGCCCCCATCCCTCAGATGGGATGTTCGTTCCAGATTGGCAAAATTATAAGGCTTCCCAACATTTCAACACTTCCCATTCTAAATTTTCGGTTGCTTAACTATAGGCTAGTTCTGCCTACAACAAAGCATATTCAGAACCTCTGATTAAAGGGATTATAAATGTAGCAACCTCCATCATAACTAGTCACCAAAGATTGAACCCGAGCCATCCAGACTTAAAAGCATGAGCTTCTACTACTTGAGTTCAAGATATAACTCCCTTAGCTGGTAGCTATACAGTTATCCTCTAAAAATTCACCAGAGGAGGGCACAAAACACATGTTGGACAGTGAATTACAAAAGTGCCAAATATTATTATTAGACCTGCAATACTTTTCACAATGAACATCAGCGGGGGAAAAACTGGGAGTTTAAGAATATTTGGAAAACAATTTTAGAATAACATTCAGTGCTGTGGTTTAAAAGAAAAAAACCTGTTAAAACTCATAACTTAGCAGCATTCAGTGTTTGAAAAAAAACAACTTCTAGGAGGGATACAAGTTAAGAATGTTGAAACAGGAAAATGTTATGCTTAGTTACCACTTGGGCAAGGCGGCGTGCTATGTAATACTTGCAAGATTTCACTGTAATGTTTTACAATATATAGCAGCGCAATACTGATTCCATTGATATGGTTGAGCAATTCATGCTGATTTTATTTCAGCCCACATCTTAATAGTTTTGAATACTATAGATCACAATTTTCAGCTCAGTTGGTCTGAACATGCAGAGCTTTAAAATTGCTATGCTCTAAACTGTATATTAACTACAATTTTATAAACCTGCATGTCAGAGAACTGTGTGCCACTACTACTAGACAGTGGCACAAGGCAATTCAGTGTGAATCACAGAAATGTAGGACTGGAAGGGATATCAACAGGTCATCTAGTCAAACCCCTGCACTGAGGCAGGACTGAGTAATAACAACACTAGACCATCCTTGACAGGTGTTTGTCTAACCTCTTAAAAAACTCCAATGACTGCTATTCCATAACCTCTCTAGGTAATTTGTCCAGTGCTTAACTACCTTTACAGTTAGGAAGTTTTTCCTAATGTCTAACCTAAATCTCCCTTGCTACAATTTAAGCTCATTGCTTCTTTTTCCTGCATGTCCTGAGTGGGACGGGGGTGGGTCCAGGCAGTGGGATTGGGGGGAGGGAGGTCGAGGGAGTCGGTGGGTGTGTGGGGATGGACGGGGGAAGCAGGATGGAGGAACTGAGGGGGACAGGATTGGGACTGGGGGAATTGGGGGGGCTGAGGGGGATGGGACAGGACTGGGATGGGGGAGTAGGGTAGGGGCTGAGGGGAGCATGAATGGGACAGGGTAGAGAGAGCTGTGTAGAGTGGGGTGGGGCAGGGGAGACAATGGGGCTGGGCTGGGGAGGGTCGGGGGGTTGGGGAGAGGGACAGGGTCTGGAGGGGATGAGACAGAGGGGAGCAGGACTGGAATGGGGGGAAGTTGAGGGGTGGGACAGCAGGGGCAGCGATGGGGGTGGGATGACGGGGGAGGCTGAAGAAGAGATTTGGGGTAGGGCAAGGCTGAGGGCAGTGGGTTGTGGGGAGCAGGGGGACTGTGGGGGAGGCTGTTGGAATGGGGGCAGGGACTGAGGGCAGTGGGTTCGTGGTGGGAGGTACAGGGGGGACTGCGGGGGAGGCTGAGGGAACAGGGTCAGGGTGGGGTCTGAGGGCAGTGGGTCGGGTCTACACTGGCACCTCTCAGCATTGCTGTGCTGGGTGGCAGACCTGCACCAGCGCTACCCTGGCAATGGAAGAGTCCTCAGTGGAAATGCAGACTTCATGACACAGACCCTCCACGTCACTTCAAACCTAGCGCTGCTCTGGTCAGTCGCTAGGCTCTTGTCACTTTCAAACCCATGCAGGGTATCTGGCTCTTTTTCAGTTCTCAGGTTAAGAAAAGCCTCTGCATTTTGTGAGGGCTTCAGGATTCACTTTCCTACTTGACAAACTGTCTGCCTGACACATTGCTCCCAGGGCATTCATCTTTATTCATTATCGGCAGGTCCATCAGATTAAAGAGCAACACAGGGGAAGCAACACAATGGTGTCATGGATTTTTAATTTTTCAAACCACTTTGGCCTCAACAGGGATAACAGCAAATCTGGACAGAGCAGATGTGTGTCAGGATGGGTTTGGGTTTTTTTTTTTTTAAGTGAAAATGTTTGGGTCTGAGCAAAGGCTGCAAACTTCCCTTTGGAAACCTCTGCTGATCTTTTGCCCCAGGGGCTAAAGACAGCCTGGAATCCGGGACAGATTTCCACATCCATGCAGGGTGAGATGATCGGGGGGGAGGGGAGGGACTGTGGGGGAGGCAGAGGGAACAGGGTCGGGGGGCTGAGGGCAGTGGATTGAGGGTGGGGGGCACAGGGGGGACTGCAGGGGAGGCTGAGGGAACAGGATCAGGGTGGGGGCTGAGGGCAGTGGGTCTGAGGGGAGCCCCCCAGAGGGACCTGCCAGGGGGCCAGGTGAGCCCAGCAGTGCTTACCTGGAGCGACTCCCAGGAAAC